TACAAGGTTAGTATACAAAAGTCAATTGCTTTCCTATATGCCAGCAATAAAAAAGTAGAATTTGAAAGTAAAAACATAATATCATGTACATTAGTACCCCCAAAAATGAGTTAGGTATAAATCTAAGAAAATATGCATAAGATCTACATGAGGAAACTATAATACTATCTGATGAAAGAATCAAAGAACTAAATAAATCAAGACATACTGCATGCTCACATACAGGCAGACTCAATATTACCAAGATGCCAGTTCCCCAACTTGATCTATATATTCAACGAAATATTAATCAAAATCCCGGCAAATTAATTTGTGGATATAGATGAAACTAATTTTAAAGTTTACATGGAGAAGCAACAGACCCAGAATAGCCAACATAATAGTAAAGAAGAACAAAGTTGGAGGGCTGATGCTACCTGACTGCAAGGCTTATTCTAAAGCTACAGTCATAAAGACTGTGTTACTGGCTAAAGACAAACAGATAAAAAGAACAAGATAGAGAGCCCAGAAAGAGTCCCACACAAATACAGTCAACTGATCTCTGACAAAGGAGCCAAAGCCATACAATGAAAGATAGTCTTTTCAACAAATGGTGCTGGTACAACTAGATATTCATATACAAAAAATAAGTAAATAAATCTAGACACAGATCTTACACTCTCCGCAATTAACTCCAAATGGAGCAAAGACCTAAGTGTAAAATTTAAAACTCTAAAACTCCTGGAAGACAATATAGGAGAAAACCTAAATCATCTTGAATATGGCAATTATTTTTAGATACAACACAAAGGCATCGTCCATGAAAGAATTAAAATATTAAATGTATGCTCTGTGAAAGACAATATTAAAAGAAGGAGAAGATAAGCTACCAATTAGTAGACAATATTTGCAAAAGACATATTTGATAAAAGACTCTTACCCAAAGTATGCAAATAACTCTTAAAACTAAAAAACAAGAAAAGAAATAATCTGATTAAACAGTGGGTCAAAGACCTTCACAGATGCCGAAAAGAAGGTATACAGAAGGCAAATAAACACAAAAGAAGATCATCTACATCCTATGTCATCAGGGAAATGTAAATTGAAGCAATGAGATACCACTACATGCCTATAGGAATAACCAACATGTAGAACACTGACACCACCAAATTCTGACAAAGACGTAGAGCGACAGTAATTCTCCTTCACAGCTGGTGGGAATACAAAATGGTACAGCTACTTAGGAAGACAATTTACACACACTCTCTTAACATATGATCCAGCAATCACGTCTCTTGGTATTTACCCAAAGGAGCTGAAAACATGGTCACACAAAACCCTGCACATGGATACTTATAGCAGCTTTTTTCATAATTAGAAGCAACCAATATGTCCTTCAGTAGGTGAATGGCTAAATTAACTGTCGAATAACCAAACAATGGGATATTTATTATTCAGCACTACAAATAAATGAGCTATCCAGACATGAAAAGACATGGAGAAACCTTAAATGCATATTGCTAAGTGAAAGAAGCCAATGTGAAAAGGCAACATATTGCATGATTCCAAATATATGATATTCTGGAAAACACAAAACTATGGAGACAGTAAAAAGATCAGTGGTTGCCAAGGGTTGGAGGGGTGAGAACAGATGACTACATAGAGCACAGATAATTTTTTAGGGCAATGAAAATATTCTGTATGATACCATAATGAGGGATACTTGTCATCATACATTTGTCCATACCCATAGAATGCACAACACCAACAGTGAATCATAAGGTATGAACTTTGAGAAATCATGACGTGTCAATGTAGATTCGTCAGTTTTAACAAGTATACCACTCTGTTGAGGGATATCGAAAATGGAGTGACTATACAAGTGTGGGGACAGAAAGTATATGGGAGGAGTCTTTCTACTTTCCTCTCGATTATTCTGTGAACCTAAAACTGCTCCCAAAAAGTCTTTTCAAAATATTGAAGAGGAAGGAACACTTCCAAACTCATTTTATGAGGCCAGCATCACCCTAATATCAAAGTCAGAGAAGGCACAATCAGAAAAGAAAATCATAAGTCAATATCCCTAACAACAGAAATGTAAAAATCCTCAAAAAAATACTAGCAAACAGAACTCTACAACACATCAGAAACATCAGGCCCTCTGACCAAGTGAGATTTATACCTGGGACATGAGGATGGTTCAGCACACGAAAATGTATTAACACCATTTTAACAGAATCAAGGATAAAAGTCACATAATCATCTCAACAGGTGCTGAAAAGGCATTTGATAAAATTCAACATTCTTTCACAACAAAAAATCTCTACAAACTAGAAAGAGGGAAATCACTTCAATACAATAAAGGCCATATATGAAAAGCCCACAGCCAACATCATACACCATGGTGAAAAATCAAAAGCTTTCCCACCAAGCTGGACAAGGCACAGGTACTCACTTTCCACACTTCTATTGAAGAGATCAGAAGTCACTGGGAGAATAAGGCTGAATAATTCCCCTGGAACTCTCTGTACCAGGTCCCTTCAAGCTATCAGTGTTCCTCTATCTCACCTCCTGTAGGGATAGTCTCCCCTGCAGCTAGAGAGACTCTCCCAGATCCAGTAACAGTTCCCTCCCTTTCTATCTACTATATCCCTAGCAAGCATATACACATTCAAGTCAACCAAATTTAAAAAAAAAAAAAGAACACTTTTTTGGCTCTTCCCTTGGGGAAAATGATGGAAACTTTATATTCAAGATCATGTTATCTTCATATTTAAATGTCAATATGTGTTTTCAATATAATATTCTAAATACCATTCTCCTCAAAATGCTTAATATTTACTTAATATTTAAGTACACTGTAAGTCTCTTTGCCATAGGGTTTACTTTAGGGGAGTAGTTTTAAATACCAACTTACTCAAAGTAGGGGAGTAGTTTTAAATACCACCTCGCTCAAAGTTTCTGTTACTAACATCCAGTTTTGTCATACTGAGGCCTGTTCTGTTGTTTCACCACCCTCAGCCCTCCCAATCCTCCATATTCCACTCTGTTTTATTTCACATAGCACTTATCACCTTCTAACGCCTTATATTATTGATTTTCTTATGTTTACAGATTGTCTCCCACTCCCCTCCAATGTAAACTCTTTGAAAGGCAAGTCAATCTAACTTACTGAGGTATTCCAAATGCTGAGAACAAAGTCTGGCATGTAGTCAGTGCTCAATAAATGTTTGACAAGTTGGTGAATAAAGTATGGGTCCACTCTTCATTGTTTCCTATACCATATCAAATTCCACTATGGCACTGTTTCATAACATTCTCTCCTTAACTCTGAATGCTTTTTTATATCAATCTCTTGACTTGTCTCATTGTTCATTACTCATTTCTTGTTTCCCTGAATTCACGTCTTTCTCAACTTTACTGCTGGCCAAAGCAAATGCTAAATTTACTTCCCTCTACTATAGGAAATCTTTTACAAACATATGACTTTCCTTACGTACATTATTTTATAAAGCATGGATGTTCCTAAGTACTATTTTAATTCTTCCTATCTATTTTTGAGCCTAGTATTTGTTCAAAAACTATATATTCTGCTTGAGAATTTATAGTTTTATACTAGCATGTGACCACAATTGTCTTGTCCACGCAGATCTTTAGCTGAAAGGCTGGTTGACAGAAGTTTTTATTACTCTGTCAGTGCTTCGGAAGCCTGAGAGAGGTGGGAAGGGGCATGAACACTTGGGGCCATGGATATTCCCCATGTGAAATCTTCATCTGTTTGTTTGTTTGTTTGTTTGTTTGTTTGTTTGTTTGTTTTGAAACAAGGTGTTACTCTGTTGCCCAAGCTGGAGTACAGTGGCACAATCATTGCTCACTGCAGCCTTGAGCTCCTGGGCTCAAGTGATCCTCCTGCCTCAACCTCCTGAGTAGCTGGGACTACAGGCATGTGCCAACATTCTTTAATTTTTTTTTTTAGAGACAGGGTCTTACTCTGTTACGCATGTTGGTCATGAACTCCTGGTCTCAAGTGATCCTTGCAACTCAGCCTCCTTAAGTGTTGGGATTATAGGCATGACCCACCATGTCCACCCTGTATTTGTTAAAGATACCATCTCTCGTATCTAATTTTCACTCAGGCTCAGCATTTACACACGTATACACTACTGTTAGGTTCAGCTCTCTACTTAGGACTCCTGCCTTCTAAATTAGGAAGGAACCTCACTGGCATTACGATGAATCTGCATTAGAAATCTGTATTTCTGATGCCCAACCACCATGAGACCTTCTACTATAATTATTTTTTAGCTTTGGGACAGGAAAGGGTTCTAAGATCAGATCACAGGCTCTGACTTCCTAGCTTTGAATCCCAGTCAGCAATTTGCATGTGTGACCTCAGTTTCCTCATCTGCAAATGGAGATAAAGTATGTGTACCTCAATTCACTGATGAGCAGTAAGTAAGTGGACAATCTTTTAAAAGCCTGCAACAGTGCCTGTACATAAAAAGAGCCTAATGAATGTTAGCCATTCTCTCTCCTCTTCTCTGTCTTGCCTCCCACCTTTATCTCTATAAAACAGGGTTTTTTGATAGAGGTATGTCACAACCTCATCTACTTACAGTAACAATGCAGCACTTTCTCAAAAAGGGGTTTGTGAAGAAATTTCTTACACAGTCCTTCACTGAAATCCAATCCACAGTGAATCTAGCAGAAACCTCCCCCTAATTTCTACTTCAGATATAAACTTTGCCATGTTCTTATACTCTTTCAGTCTATAATTGGTTTACAGAAGTTACTTACTTGTGCCTATACAAGTGTTGCCTTCTAAAAGCTCTCTGGAATTATTTAACACAGACTTCAGCTATACATCAGGTAACAAACCTGCACATGTAACCCCCTGAATCTAAAAGGCTGGGGAAAAACATAGACTTCTCATTGGTATGTCACGTAATTAATTTCAGGGAACCAGAAATAACATGGGTCTACAATACCATATAAAGAGAAGAAAGAATCCAGGTACTCACGATGTTCCTGAATTCATGATGCAGCTCTTTACTGCACAGGAACAATCTCTCCCATCATCATGATTCATTCCAAGATTATGACCCAACTCATGAGCAACAATAGATGCAAATGTCTCCACAGTGATTTGCCCAAACTGTTCAGACACAGGAAGGTAGTGATTAGGTTTCTGAACACAAAGAAAATGTTTTGCTGCTCAGACTATTTTTTCACAAAAGGAAATTTATTCACCACACTGTTGACAGCCTATACAATAAATCAAGCATCCAAGAAGTCTTTTTTTTTTTTGAGACGGAGTTTCATTCATGTTACCCAGGCTGGAGTGCAATGGCGCGATCTCGGCTCACCGCAACCTCCGCCTCCTGGGTTCAGGCAGTTCTCCTGCCTCAGCCTCCTGAGTAGCTGGGATTACAGGCATGCGCCACCATGCCCAGCTAATTTTTTGTATTTTTAGTAGAGATGGGGTTTCACCATGTTGACCAGGATGGTCTCGATCTCTCGACCTTGTGATCCACCCGCCTCGGCCTCCCAAAGTGCTGGGATTACAGGCTTGAGCCATCGCGCCCGGCCTCCAAGAAGTCTTTATACATTTCAGTCAAGTAAAAAAGTAACATGAATCACACACTAATGATGGACACAAATCCTTCAAGCAAGAGATCAACCACTTTAACACCTATAAACTACTCATGATAGTTTATAGGAAAACAAGTTGATGGTTCTAATTTAATTCACTAAAATCTGTTTCCTCACCCATAAAAAGTAAAGAGCTACACTCATAAGTGGGAGTTGAACTATGAGAACACATGGACACACGGAGGTTAACTCCACACACCATGGCCTGTTGGGAGGTAGGGGGCAAGGGGAGGGAGAGCTTTAGGACAAATATGCATAAGGGGCTTAAAACCTAGATGACGGGTTGATGATAGGTGTAGCAAACACCATGGCACATGTTTACCTATGTAACAAACTTGCATGTTCTGCACATGTATCCCAGAACTTAAAGTAAAATAAAATAAATAAAAAAGTAAAGAGCTAGTAGACACAGTACATATTTAAAAATTTGATCCAGTCTCTAGGGAAAGAACATATCTGTCACTTCTACCGTGTCCCTCATAACACTCAAAATATTGTTTTAAGGACCAGGGGAGGAAGTATACAGTCAATCAATGCTTGATATTGTCCCAATGCAAACATCTAAAGTTAAACATCAAGAACAACGTACCACATTAATCCCGCCTGCATGGCTCCTTGAACACACTGTTCCCACAAATGCCATTCCTGCAGTTCCACCAAAACCTTTCTTTCTAAATGAAAATGTAAAAGTTATAAAATGTTCTTGGGGAAAAAAAAGGAACACGTTGCTTTTATTGCATGAATAATCTCAACTGGATTGGAAGAACCTATAAAACCTGGCAGAAAAATGGCAAAGAAAAGTAACATTCTAAAATCAGAATATAATTATACCTTATCTCCTTCTTACTAATTTTTTCAGACAAATGAATACACTTTCTGGATACCAAGACAAATTTGTTTCTTTTTACCTTCTAGATGAAACCTCTCCTTAAATACATTAGGTTTATTTATTCACAAATTTTAGTGAGGAGAGACAGATAATGAACAGAATAAATATGTTTACATGGGCAACTGCAGGGCAGTGAGCACAGTGAACGTGAAAGTCAGGAAGGGCTGGGAGCAGTGGCTTACGCCTGTAATCCCAGCACTTTGGGAGGCTGAAGTGGGCAGATCAACTGGGGTCAGGAGTTTGAGACCAGCCTGGCCAACATCAAGAAACCCCAACTCTACTAAAAAAAAAAAAAGAAAAAAATACAAAAATTAGCCAGGCATGGTGGTGCACACCTGTAATCCCAGCAACTCGGGAGGCTAAGGCAGGAGAATCGCTTGAGCCCAGGAGGCGGAGATTGCAGTAAATCAAGATTACACCACCGCACTCCAGCCTGGGTGAGAGAGTGAGACTCTGTCTCCAAAAAAGAAAAAAATTCAAGATAGGCCCTGTGTGCCTCCTCAATCACACCCCACATACCTGTACCTCAGCACCTGTTTCCTCTGCCTGGACCTCTCTTCCCCAGTAGTAATATGCACCCAGACTCATTCCCTTACCTCCTTCAGGTCTTTACTCAGAAGGCATCTCCCTCACTAGGCATTCCCTGGCCATGTCACCTCAAAAGTCAACCTCATTCCTCCAATGCTTTTATATCTACCTCCCTGTTTTATTTTTCTCCTTATCACTTATCATTGGTTAACATACTACATGTATTTTTTATCTCATTTATGGCCAATTTCTTCCACCAGAACATGGACTCCATGAGAGCAGGAATTTTTGCCAGTTTTGTTCACTGCTGTGTCCCAGAGCCTGAGTATACATCCAATAAATATATTTTAAATGAATGGATAAATCCTTCTCTGAGCCATCTGACCAGCCAGGAGAAGATGACTAGAGGTACTGACATGAGACTGACAAGGAAACATTCCAGCCAGACCACTCTATAGTGAACTTAGAGTCTCCAAGATGCATTCATGAACTTAATGCTTCCAAAAAGCTTTTCGGGACCCCATTCTCAACTGTAAACAAACAACTAAAAATCATCAAACATCTGGGAAATGTCTCTAACAGGACAGATGGAGACCACAGAAACAGAGAGGGTTAAGATAGTTTGTTGGGTGTGGTTGGGCAAGGCATGGTCAGTATGCTTGAAACCTGCTCTTTTTGGTATTTTGTGAACTAGATGGCATTCTCACTGGTTCGAGGATGTGTCAGTGTCTTAATTTTACTAAAAATTAAGACCCACACCAAACCACATCATCAGGAAAATCCAGAAGCCTGGGAACCAAGAGAAGATCCTGTAAGTTTCCAGTGACAGGGGAAAAAACAGGCCACATACAAAAGGTCAGGAATCAGAATGTTTCAGGCTTCCCAAAAGTAATTCTGGGACAAAAAAGACAAAAGAGCGATGCCTTCAAAATCATGAAGAAAAAGGATATCATGGATAGAATTTTATACCCAGCATCACACCTATAATTCCAGCACTTTGGGAGGCCGAGACAGGTGGATCACCTGAGGTCAGGAGTTTGAGACCAGCCTGGCCAACATGGTGAGACCCCCATCTCTACTAAAAATACAAAAATTAGCCAGGCATAGTGGCTCAGACCTGTAATCCCAGCTACTCAGGAGGCTGAGGCAGGATAATCGCTTGGACCCAGGAGGCAGAGGGTGCAGAACCAAGATCGTGCCACTGTGCTCTGGCCTAGGCAACAGAGTGAGACTCTGTCTCAAAAAAAAGACAAAAGAAACTCAAAGCATGCCTAGGAAATACTGAGTTACTTAGGCCCTAGAAACTCAAATTGAGGCAATGTTTAAATTCTGTTCCGAAACTGGGAAAACATACTTTCAGACACACATAAGGTCAAAATGTTTTCTTTTCATATATCTGTTCACAAAAAGCAACTAGAAAACACACTATACCAAAATGAGGACGTAAACCCAAGAAAAATGGAGGACATGGGAGCAAGGTGACAGGGAATCCAGACAAAAGAGGTCTCATTATCATAATGCCACATCAAGCTAAGTTTTCCTCATTTAAATGAATGCCACCAAAACCTCAAGAGAATATAATTCTAATACAAGAAAATAAGCAACAATTATTTTGATTATTTCATTAATAGTACTTTAAAAGAAAAAACATTTACAGAACTAGCTGTGCACTGTCATGTCTCCGACGTGTGATAAGAAACTTTTCCCGCCACTGCACGAAGTTCCCCAGCACATCACCAGCACCTCCAACTATGCTGATCAGGTTTCCACTGGTCCAAATCTCCAATCCAACTAGCACAATTCGAATATTTAACATAATATACATCTGGGAAGAGAGAAATAAAAGTATAAAGAATGTGAGAAAAATCTTTTAACCACATGAAGTAACACAGCTACTTAAATTAAAACTTACCTGCCTAAAAAAAAAAAAAATCTTTCCTCTAATATAATGAGATTCTTGGCCAGGCACAGAGAGGCTGAGGTAGGCAGATCACCTGAGATCAGGAGTTCAAGACCAGACTGGCTAATATGGTGAAACCTCATCTCTACTAAAATTCAAAAATTAGCTGGGCATGGTGGTGCACGCCTGTAATCCCAACTACTTGGGAGACTGAGGCAGGAGACTTGCTTGAACCCAGGAGGGGGAGGTTGCAGTGAGCCAAGATTGTACCACTGCACCCTAGCCTGGGTAACACAGCAAGACACCATCTCAAAAAAAAAAAATACAATGAGACTTTAACCTCTCAATAGTCTCAGTTTCGTCAACCATAAAATGATAGTAACAGAGATTCAAAATCCTTATTATCTTCCATTGTAAAATCTGACAAAGTCTGGAAATTAAGTTTTTGGTAAAACTGGTTCTAAAATTTGCCCTGATATAATGCAAGCTCATTCACAGTCCACTATTATCCCACTTAATGTAAATATTCCTACATTTCACTGCAGAAATACCAATGAGTCTGATTACAAGGTGCTATCCCAAGATCCTGTCGGAGGTGTTATATAATATGGAGTGAACCATACTATTTTTCTAAAATTATAATCACAGGTACGTCAGAGGTTTCAGATAAAGGACTATGGAACTCATACCTATTTCATAGAGGTACTGTGAGGAGTAAATGGGTTAAGTCCAAAGCACTTAGTTCAGTGTCTAGCACACTGTAAATATTCAACTGAATGCTATCATCATCATAATCATCATGCTTGATGTTCATATCAGCTTTGTAGATAAAATTACTTTATATCTAATTATTTAATATCTTCCACTGAATGAACTCCAAAATCTCAAACCAAACACACACACACACACACAAATTAGTATCATCATCATATTTTCAGAGTAGAAGGCAGCCTTATTCAAAATAAAATTTACTCAATAAAAATTCAAAGACCTTTTCATAAATGCCAAAGCACCTAAGCCTAGCTACTCTGAAGTTAAAGTAGATGCTAATATGAAATCTCTTGTTTTTCTCAAAGTCTTTCTACACTGATACTTTGCTTTAAACATTAAAAAGAGTTAAAAAAAAAACAAACCAGAAAGTAGACCTCTGAAAGACTGAGTCATTGATTGAGGCCCTGTGATAATCAGAACTCAAAATGAGACACTTTTTAAGTTCTGTTCTGATACAGAATAGGACAGAATCATCCTGATTGATGGAAAATACAACTTACACTATCCAAGTAGTTTGCCAGGCGAATCATCTCTTCTCTCACAGCAGTCTGATTTCTTCCCATCATGTCATACTGGAAAAGCAAAGGAGAATCATTATCACCAAAGTAGACTAAGAATAAAAATGTGAGTCCGGGTACAGTGGCTCATGCCTGTAATCCTAGCACTTTGGGAGGCCCAGGCAGGTGGATCACCTGAGGTCAGGAGTTCAAGACCAGCCTAGCCAACATGGCAAAACCTTGTCCCTACTAAAAATACGAAAATTAGCCAGGCATGGTGGTGGGTGCCTATAATTCCAGCTACTTGGGAGGCTGAGGCAGAACTGCTTGAACCCGGGGTAGGGGGAAGAGGTTGCAGTGAGCCAAGATCCTGCAACCTCACTGCAGCCTGGGTGAAAGAGCGAAACTCCATCTCAAAAAAAAAAAAAAAAAAAAAACAAGAATAAAAATGTGTCTGTAATTTGTTATAATGAAGATTAGAATCCAAATATTTCCTCTGAACAAAAAATTGAGGCATTTAGATATTTATCAACGCTTCAAATTAAGAAATTGTAGTGATAGGAATAAAAAAAAAAACAGGTGAAAGTGTAAAGTAATAATGAAACAGCACTGAAGTCTTCATTTTCTCCAAATTAGTAGAACTTTAAAACAAATTATCTTCTTAATGTTCCTTTTATTTTAATGCAAAAATATTTTCAAGCATTTCACAGAGAGTTTTAAGCAATAAAAATGCATAGATAAAAGAATAAAAGACAATCTAAAGAACTTCCTGACCCTTTCACCTCTTAGGCTAATTATATCACCAATAAACCTTTTTATTTTAATTTAACAGAGTTTAGTTGACCAAAGAACGACTGATTCAAGAATTGTGCAGCTTCCAAACCAGAACAGGTTCAGAGAGACTGTGCATAGCCACATGGTAGAACATGATTTATGGATACAAAAAAAAAAAAAAAGTGACATAGAGAAAACAGAATTGAGATACAGAAATAGCCAGACTCGTTACAGATCAGCACCAGTAAACCATTTCTAAACCCTGGGCTGAATTAATAATGCAAGATTAACCAATAATCACTAGTTAAAAAGTCATATGTAAATGAAAATATAAAAGTTTAACCATCTTAAGCCAAACAAATATGATTAATTTTTTCTTTGAGACCTGGCTAAACTCAAATGTCTATTTTTGACATTATTTTATGTAACCAATTTAGCAAAAGAAAAATTTTCAAAGAATTTATGATTTTGCTCTATGCTAAAAGCACAATATCAGAATATATCAGATTTTATCAGTTGGGGATCTAATCATGATTTTCCTAAACAAGAAAAAAAAATTAATTTAATACATTTAACAGGGCTTGATTGAAATTGAACCATTTTTTTTAACCATTTTCTAACTGTATATAACAAATATATCTGGAAACAGCAATGAAGAAAAACATTTTGAATCTTAGTTTTTGTGACTTGTTCAAAACAGTCTACAGAAGCTTTTTACCCACTGCTGGGGCAGAGTTCACACTTGCTCATATTCCATGTGCTTTCCTTCTACTACTTGAGGGCAATGAACCTATAATGTATAAATCTGAGTCTATTTCTTAATAATATTTTCCCCAAATTATTTATTTGGGATGGCGTATTATTTTCCAACCTACATACAACAAGGAATTTTATTAAACCCAAAAAAAAAAAAATCTCGTAACTGTCTGTACAGCTTACAAGAAAGAAACTGCCAATCATGGTATAAGCTTCCACTAATAACTTTTTCACACTAACAACAAAGTTGGAAGTAAAAGTCAAACAAAACACTTCAATACTCTCTATTTTAAATTACACAGCTGTTGTATCAAATACTCACTTGTACATCATAAATATGTTAAGTATTATATATCAATTTAAAAAAGCAACATGAAAATAAATAAATAAATTATACAGCCACTATCTCTAAAACTGATAATCCTATACATGCCAATAGGGACACGTTACTTCTCTTAGTTAAAGCAAAGCACTTAGTTCTGTTTTTTAAGTATAAATAAAGAAAATGCCCTCATGTGATCCTGTACACTGAAATTAATACTATTCCCTTCCAAAGGCATGCCAGGACCTGGAGGTTTTCCATCTCTTAAAGTGCAATATAGGTTATCTCAAATTCTAGAAAGCAAAGCAATCTGAATAGCCAAGGAAGAATAAACCTTTTATAGCCATAGTCCATTAAAGTAATCTGAAAAGTTCTCAAGAACCTGATAGGCAGTACAGATTCACTCAAAAAATTTAGCATAAGCAAGTCATCAGCAAAAACAAGAAAAACAAATCATTAATAAAAGATAAAGTTAAAGGCAGTCACATTTGCTACCTTGAGCTTCTGTTGGTATTCTGGTGTTATTCTGGTGTTATAACGTTTAAGGGAAAAAAAATTTTAGTTTTAAAATCATCATTTAAGTAAGATACAAACAAACTGTAGTTTATATTTCCTTCATTAGATGCTCACTTATATGCTTTTCATGAAAAAGAAGAAAAACTGTCACCACTCTTACCCTTTCCTTGTCTACGACAATGAACAGCTCCACATACCGGGTCTGTGGCAAGACAGCTCTTCTTCTCTGTCAAAACACAAACAGCATAAAGGCAAAAGAAAGTTATAAGACTATGGTCACATCCTAATCTCTCATCACTATTTCATGTCTGCTAAGAACATGCTTAACATATCCTAGATCAATAAAAAACATGTTTTTTGAAATGTTATCTGCTTCTTAGTGATAAAAACTTTGTCCAGTTCTGTTACTGACTTTAAGTGATGATAAACTATGTCTGAGGGGAAAAAAAATGTTTTGAAGTGTTATCTGCTGTTATCTGCACTGATATGAGAAAAATGCTACAGATAAAATGGGTTTCTTAAGTTTACAAAGCAGAATTACCAATTTTCTAAAATCAAAACTACACACACACACATGCGCATGCACGCATGCACACACACGCACACACACACAGACACACATATTTTAATGAAAAACCCCATTATTATGATGAGAGATAAAGAAAACATACCCACTAATATCCCAGAGCGTAAGTTAGAACAAGGTTGCCATTTTCAAAAACAACTAGTTTTGTCATTTTACAAAAATTCATGCAAAGTAGAATAAGCAAAATTTTTAATGTTGTCCAATGTTTAAAGTTAAAAAGAACAGTCCAACAGTCAAATGAGTGGACAGCAGGAGAGGCAATAAAAATAATGGCATAAACTAGTATGAGTTAATTAAAAATATGCTCTTTCATGGCAGCAACATCCTCTCTTATGTGGAAAGGTACAGTCTCTGCAACTGAAGTTGATCTAGTCCTAGAACCATTTCAGTCTAAGAGACCCATGTCAAGAGTATATCATGAAATGCTACAGCAGTCTCTAAATAGGGATGAGAGTGTCCTTAAAACATATCTGAAGTCATTAAAGTCCTAAAGCTATATCTTTCTCTTTCTTTAATCTAGGGTTCAAGAATCACCATTCGAGTTGTCTAAGAGGTACGTAAATAAAAAGTCTATTTGCACTGGGCACGGTGGCTTACACCTGTAATCCCAGCACTTTGGGAAGCTGAGGCAGGAGGATTGCTTGATGCCAGGAGTTCAAGACCAGCCTGGGTAACATAATGAGACCTCATCTCTACAAAAATTTTTTTAAATTAGCCAGGCATGGTGGCACACACCTGTAGTACTAGCTACTGGGAGGCTGAGGCAGAAGGACTGCTTGAACCCAGGAGGTCAAGGCCACAGTGAGCCATGATCACACCACTGCACTCCAGCCTGGACCACAGAGCAAGACCCTGCCTCAAAAAAAAAAAAAAAAAAAAAAAAGGACAGTGTAATAGACCAATATGTAGCAATACCAAACAGGATAACTGTTGCAGATGTAAAACGTAGTTTCCAAAACCCACAGAATCTAAACTGTACTTAACTTGGTAGCAGGAACTGTATATTGCTCATATTTTCATCACCTAGTGCCTATCGATAGATTTGGCAAAATTAAGAAAAGAAAAGAAAACACTACTCATAGTATTGGTTTCATGAATAAATACATGATTTTTCTAAAATGATAGTCTGAGCCATAAAGAAGTATGCTATTTCCTTACTCGAAGTAGCTGAGTCATGCTGGGAAACTCTTCCTCTTCATCCTTTGTGGTTTCTTTCTCTATATCCTTGTTGGAAACTCCACATTTCAGAGGCTCTTGGTGGACATCATCCATTCGGTAAATGATGTGCTCAAAATGAGAGCTGTTCTGCAGGGGTTCAATCCCATAACTCGCATTCTCTAAATGCAGCAATCCTCTGAATGTTGCATTACACATACACAAATTTTAAGAAAAAGAAAATACACAAGGAATCAGAAAACCTAAGTTCAAGTCCTACTTCTTAAATATGTAAGTAGGCATAGCATGATATAGAGAAAAAAACAGAGGCTTTAGAATCAGACAGATGGGGCTGGAGCGGATCTAAATTGAAAGCTCAAATAGTTACTTAGCAGCATCACTGCTGTTAAGTTACTTAACCTCCCTGAGTGACCTATGGGAAATGGAAGGCACTACAAAGTGGTGGCTAAGAATGTAGCATCTGAAACAGAGAACCAGAGTTTGAATTCCAAATGTTTTCTATTAGCTGCAGGACTCTCAGTGAGGTATTTAACCTCTGCCTTGGTTTACCCTCTGCATAGGATTGTTCTGAAAACAAAATTACTTAATAAGCACAAAACACTCAGAATATATTGCCTGGTCCACAGTAACTATTAAATAAGTGTTAGCACTTAAATGAAGATAATCATATCCATCTTAATAGAACTAATATTTATTAGTTCAATCAATCATATAATCAACCAACCAGCACATTGCCATGACCTCAAGGAATGTAATTTTAATACTATAATAACTTAATATGAAGTGTAATATAAGTTATCTGAACCTCAGTTTGTTCACCTAAATATGGGGATAATGAGCTCTTATTCACAGTCATAATGAGAATTAAATACAAGTCTCAAATAATACAAAGTGAAAATTTTATAAATATAAAGTGCTACAGAAATTTAAAGTATATTTTATTTTAAATAGCAAAAATTATTTAGTGGTCTCAAAACAAATTTCCTCTTTACATATTAAAACTAATCAATTATAATACTTTTGTAAATAAACATGCCAAGGATATCTGAAACACAGCTATAAAAATGTTCAGTAACATCGAAGTAAATTCCAATTTTGCTAAGTGCCCACAATGATTTAATCTTGAGACAGAAATAGGAAAAAGGATAAGATACAGGGAAAAGAAAAAAAAGATACAGGAAATTGCTTACCTGAGTCCAAAACAGTCGCTAAGAGCAACGGACGAATTATAAACTCCCTCCACATAGCCCCGATAATGACAGTGATTCTAAATGGAAAATACTGTATTATCTTCAAATATTGCTATATTGCTGAAAATCATCAAAGAAATTGCAGAGCTAACAAAATTACTTGAGGCCAGTCAACTAAAAAGTTTTATTTATATTATTGGCATCTCATAGTATCACATGGCATTCTTCAGACCATCTGCAGACTATCTCCTACCACCCTACAAGTACACAAATGTTTAGGCAGAATTCCAGGGGATACAAGGTACAAACAGCTCTGCCTCAATGACCTTTCAGCCTAGGGGCAGAACAACATGCATTATGTCATCTTTAACATTTTAAATCACAGTCAATCCAAAAAGCCAACAAGCAGCTGGCTGACAACTCACTAAAACTGTGTTTGTGTAAAATGGTCCTGTGGAAGACACTGAATGATGCTTTATAAACTTTAATCTTTAGCAATAGAGTCCCTAGAGGGAAGTATGTAAATTTTTCAGTGAAACTTAATTTCATTTTATGGACAAAAGTATATGTCATTATATTTGACAATCTGGCCATGTTTAAAAAAAAAATCAAAGTATCAAAGTTTTAATTTGTATTCGAAATCTATAATCACACTTTCATCTACCTGAACAATATTAAATAATCAAGAAATAAGTGAGACTCCATCGGTCTTAATTGACATTTTTCAAACACCCAGCATAACAACTCAATCATACTTATGATATTTAAGAATTATGTAAGATAATACTTATGTAAGTTTCTATATAACTAAAATCTCTTTTTAGCAGTTTTAAGAACATGTACTTTCAATAACAGCAACAAATAATAATATTCATTGTGTTAAAAACTGTCAGACTGTTATAAGCATCTTACAAGTATTAACTCAATTAAGCTTCCATACAGTAAGTATTACTCCATTTTAAATTGAAGATACTAAGGCACAAACAGACTAAAGTAACTTCGCCAGCAAATAATGAAACAAAATTCAAGCCCAAACAGTGTATGTCTGAAGAAAGTATGCCAAGAAAGCTCTACGAGGAAGAATATGCCTTTTAACATTACTGCTTTTGTCAAGTGACACAAATTATGTGGCCTTTGGCCTTCTGCCTTGGTAACCGTTGGATGCATGACTGGATGGATGGGTTATTTTTTTATCTGGTTTATGCTGTAAGGTAAATTCAAACTCCTCTACTAATTTTCTATTAAACAACAGACCAATGACGGACTAAGATAAAGAAATCAGATAGTGGACCGGAAGAGGATAGGCCTAAGTCAGCATTTCCTTGGCTTTTGTTAAGTACTAATAATTAATCTAAAATAAAGATTTTTTTGCCTCCTATTTATTTGAAGAATGCTGCAAAAGTGCACAACCAACAGAAACAATTCAACCTAGCAAAATATTACAAAGTTCAGAAGAAAAAAAATGTAATGGGAATAAAGTTTTCTCATGAAAACCACTGCAAAAGAAAAAAATGTGTAATACCTAACTGCCAAAAAGGACTGTAAAACACTCAAACAAAACTAGAAATGTTTATCCCCTAGTAATAAACACACAAAGCCAAATTTGACATCTGCCAATTATTTTGAGTAGTCTGGCCAGCTCTGTCCCCAGGAGTACTCTGTTCTCTGATGCAGAGAGGACCGCACCTCTTTTAGGAAAGAATTATTTTCAGCAAAAATTTAGAACATTAGAACACATAACAGCAAATGAATGGTTTTCTTTACTACATATTAATAACAAATTAAATGTTTTAATAAGTGCACTTTTAGAGACAGTAACTTTCAACACAAAAATCAAAAACTCCTATTTTCAAAACATATCAAATTTTTCCCTTCATCAGTAAGGATTACCATTAAATAGAAGATTGATTTTCCTAGTCTTTAGAAAATAACTTTAATTACTGAGTACCTGGAGAGCTGTAAGGTACAGTTTACTCTATAGAGATGCACCCACTTTTCCCAGGATAACCTATATGTTACAATGTTAAAGGTGCCCTGTGGAGCTGTGCATTGTAACAGTCCTGAGTGCCTACTTGGAACTCATTTTTAAATTATAATTGTTTTAAAATTTTCTATGGAATCAAGAGGAAAACATATTACCTGAATATTGGGATGGTCAGTGATTAGAGTCCCTTCCTTATTATAGGTATAAACTACAAAATCTTCAGGCAAAAGGTCTCTGGAAGAGAAATAAAACATCATTTAAATTATCTACAGCTAAGGACATGATTCATAAGGCATTATTTCTAGATGAGATGAGCAGGAGTAAATAAGAACTTTCGTCAGATAAATTATTATTTTTAAATGTGCTAATGTGAAATTAAGGGCTCATAAATAGGCGGGTGCAGTGGCTCAGACCTGCAACCCCAAAATTTTGGAAGGCTGAGGTAGGAGTTGGAGGCCAGGAGTTGGAGACGAGCCTAGGCAACATGGTGAGACCCTGTCTCTACAAAAAATAAAAAATTGGCTGGGCATAGTGGCACACACATATAGTCCTAGCTACTCAGGAAGCTGCAGTGGGAGGATTGCTTAAGCCCAGGAGTTCAAGGCTGCAGTGAGCTATGATCATGCCACTGCACTCCACCCTGGATAACAGAATAAGACCTTGTCTCTTAAAAAAAAAAAAAGGAAAAGCTCATAAACAGACAACTCTGAAATAGTGTACATTACTTACAGATAAATAATATTTAATATTAAGCTACATGTTTTTTCTAATGGTCATAAAATGCTAGCTGCAAAAAACTTAAGATATCATAAATAAGGTCCCTAAATGTTTCAGACACAACTCACAGGAAAAGTAAAAACTGGGTTATTGACAGTATATCATATTTACAGAAGAAAAATAAATGGTTTTTTACACTCTTTTCTAAAAGTTCTATATAAATAAGAAGAACTAACCTCCTAAGTATGGAGGCAAATTTCTGCCTCAATTGTTGAAAGAAACAATTATTCCTGATTTCCAAAGCTTCACTCAGTGTTTAGGAGGTTGAGAGGCATAAAGCACGTGTATGAGGATCAGGTTCTCTAGCAGGACTGGAGCAGCTGTATGCTTATTTCCAGGTCTCATAGACAAATCAGGGATGCAATGTGCTAACCAGTGATTCATAAACATGCCATTTCAGGTTCAAAACTCCCCTGGAGGCATCCGGGACCAGCCTGTCTACATTGACTAGAAATGAATAAATGGAAGGTTTTTATCTGATTTAGTTGGATACACAGCGTGACTTTAGGTACATGATCAGTGAGGTATAAAAGATATCTTCAGTAAACTTGTGTCTGACCTCCCCAGAAAATATGATCCCTCACACATATCTCAGCAGTTCATAATCTGGAGGCAAAGCACATCTGTACAACTGAGAAAGGGACCGGGGAGTCGTGCCTTGATGACTGCCTGCACTTTCTTTGTCCTGATGCATTACGTCCTTTACCTTTACTAAAGTCTATGTGAGTAGGCATGGGAGTAGCCTGTGGAACCTTCGTCTTTCCAATAATTGGACCCTATTCAGTGGCTGCAGGCTCCCCTGCCCGCAACTTCCTGACACATGCGTAGCCTTTGCTCCCTTAGTGATGCATTTGGAAAGAATAAAACAGGGATGCTTGGCTTTGGTCTCTGCCTTCTTTCCTGTTTGGAAATCACTGTCTGCCCAGCCAGCTGCCACTGTGCATTACGAACATGAAGAGCTAAATCTACTTAATACCAGGGTTCAGGAGCCACTAAACCATATCAAACTAGAAACAAAACCAATATACTATTGGAAAAACATTACTGAAAAGCCAAGATAAATTAAATGTCTTACTTGTTCCTTTCCAAGTGAATAACATGCTCTTTTCCTTCAGCCTGAATAACATAAGATACCTAAATGCACAGGTGGAGAAAAGAAGAATAAAACACTGTCTTAAAAATTACTTTTCAACAACACCTCATTTATAAGATGCAGGAAATTCCACCCTGAATTAAAACAAGAAGAAAAACAGGTACTGGCTGAACTGCTTAATAGAAGAACTTTGTGTCTATTCTTAAATAATAATTTTATACTCTGATCATCCCTTCCTTCCTTTAATAACTGATCATGGAAAATAAACTTTATGTCTATCTAAACTCTTCTTAAATTCATTTCTAATTCAGCTATAACTGAAGGGATTATCTTCTCAATTATCTTCTCAAGTCCATCAATGTATTACCTACAGTATAAGATAGTTCCTGCTTTTCTCTGAATGAAATGAAACTCTTGGTTTCAAGAGATTATCCCTAGTTCTAGTTATATGAAATTGAAAAGAAATTCAACTCCTTTTATGATATGAATTACAAGACTTACCTCATTTCATCAATTCTAAAACATGCTTTTTTCGCTTATATTACTGAGGAGGCATTATAATGCCTTATAATTACAATGCCATATAATGAGGAGGCCCCTGAAATGAGGAGGCATCATACAAAGCCACAGCAGTCTAACTGACAGCACTTTGCCTTTTTTTTTTTCTATTTTTATTTTTTTTTGAGACAGAGTCTCAGTCTGTCACTCAGGCTGGAGTGCAGTGGTGCAATTTCAGCTCACTGCAACCTCCACCTCCCAGGTTCAAGCAATTCTCCTGTCTCAGCCTCCTGAGTAGCTGGGAGTACAGGTGCTGAACAGCTGGAAGTACAGGCGCCCACCGCCACACCCGGCTAATTTTAGCATTTTTAGTAAAGACAGGGTTTCACCATATTGGTCAGGCTGGTCTCGAACTCCTGACCTCAAGTGATCACCCGGCCTCCCAAACTGCTGGAATTACAGGCATGAGCCACCCTGCCCGGCCACTTCTGTCTCTTTATTAGTGTACATGAAACAATATGGTGTGTCTCACAATTGATGGCATCTTAGAGTCAAGGAATTAAAGTAACATCCTCCAGTTCATGAAATCATCTTCTCTACCTCAAGCAACTCTGAAACAACTTCCCCAGCAACTACCATGTCATTAGCCATAAGTGCTCAGCGTGATCTCTGGAACTAAGAGATCTGACTTCACCTTAACACTTAAATAAAAAAGAAAGTCATGAAGGGACTCGTCAACTAACATTACCAGAAGTGTCTATTTAATGTTCCCTACCGTTTCCAGACTCAGTTAACATTTTGTCAAGAAACAGCATCATCCTCTCCACCACGGCACATCTGCCTTTGCCTTCTAAGCACTAGACCAACCTATGGATCCTGTCATTCTACCTCCACATCCTGCATGGGAATCCAAGAACCTTTCATTATCTACTTCAGTCTCCAGTGGGCAATCAAAACCATCAAGCTCTTTCCATTGCCACAGCTTTGGCATGTGCCTTTCCATTCATTCTGCTCTTGGACAAGCACATGAGGTAAAAATATCACTGCTATGTCCACTAGAAAGAAATCTGAGAGACTGAAGATTGTTTTGTGATAGTTTATTCCTTCCCCAAGTATCTGCCTGGACTGTTCACCCCACTCCTTCTGGTCTTTACTAAAAGGTTACATTCTTATAAGGCTTTCCCCAGCTATTCTATTGAAAAATGCAGTTCCCTCCCCAGCAACTCACCATTTCCAGCCTCCCTATCACTTATCACCACCTGAAGTAATATAGCATGTTTTTGGTTTGGGGTTTGTTTTTGGTTTTTGTTTTGTTTTGTTTTGTTTTGTCTCTTCCCCTTCCCCCTTCACTAGAATGCAAGCTCCAAAGAATACAAGATTGCATTCATGCAAAGCCATAAATTTTTGTCTGTTTTGTTCACTGCCATATCCCCAATACCTAAATGGTGCCTAACATACAATAGTAACTCAATAAATACTTTGAATGAGTAAATTACACTCACTGTTGAATGAGCAAAATCCAGTTCAATATGCACTGACCATACCACTTCCCAAATATTTACCGAAGCATAAAAATGACGGTTATTTATGACAATCACAAGTATCAGTGAGGGAATTACTGATGAAGATACTATCAGAGACACAAAAAAGTAGAAAACACAGTCCCTAAGCAAAAAGTCTACCAACAACTGAAGACAAGAAGGAAAACAGGTGGCTCATGCCTGTAATCCCAGCACTCTGGGAGGCTGAGGAGGGTGGATCACTTGAAGCCAAAAGTTCGAGACCAGCCTGGCCAACATGGCGAAACCCCATCTCTACTAAAGACACAAAAATTAGCTGGGCATGGTGGCGCATACCTGTAGTCCCAGCTACTTGGGAGGCTGAGACACGAGAATCACTTGAACCCAGGAGATGGAGGTTGCATTGAGCCAAGATCTCACCCAAAGAGGAATTAACTGATTAACTCTATTCTAAGACAAAACATAATCAGACGGTAGACTGTCCAGTTTAAACCAAAAACAAGTAAAATGTATAAACTCTTCTACGGAGGAGATCTTAGAGTCATTCACTCCTCAGTTGTAGAGGAGTAAATGGAGTTGAATGACCAACCCAACTAGTAGTGGTGGTACTCACAGGGAGGACAAAAACTCCCTGTGCTCTTTTTACAATGCCCATTCCCTAAACTCCTGATCCTCAACACCAGTGCTCTTTTTACAATGCCCATTCCCTAAAAAACAGGCATGCTGCCTTACATTTCTGAGTATATCAGCAATTCAGATATTAATGCAATTCAGAATAAGCTAAATTCTATGCTTTATTACCTGCCATTGTTAAATTACAAGAACATTTAATTATACTTTTATAAAGTTGAAAGGCTTATAAAATTAAAGTTCAAATAGATTATTTCTGAACAAACTTTACAAAAGAATAGTAGAAAAAATAACTTTTGTGCCCTTGTTACCCCATTAACAGCATAGTAAGTTTCTTCTAATATGGAAATAAAACTTGTATTTTAGTAAATATTCCCTAATATAAAATATATGCATTTAACACATTATTACTCTCCAGTGTCAGTGAAGATACACTATAAAGTGTTCTAGCTATCACAAACTGAGTGAGGTTAGCTCTTATTGTAATAAAATCACTGTGACCATTGCCTGTCAGTTAAAATGTATGTAATCAGCATCCTACCCTAGTGATAGAATTCTATTTAACTATTTTATTCTGTTATGCTTCGAGTTGATCATAATGTCTTCAAAAAATATATATATATACTGGCTGGGCATGGTGGCTTACGTCTGTAATCCCAGCACTTTGGGAGACAGAGGCAGGCAGATCACCAGAGGTCAGGAGTTCGAGATAAGCCTGGTCAATATGGTGAAAACCTGTGTCTTAAAAAATACCCAAAAATTAGCCAGTCACAGTGGCACACGCCTGTAGTCCCAGCTACTCTGAAGGCTGAGGCAAGAGAAACACTTGAACCCAGGAGGCGGAGGTTGCAGTGAAACAAGATCAAGCCACTGCACTCAAGCCTGGGCAACAGAGCAAGACTCTGTCTCAAAAAAAAAAAAAACAAAACGCCAGACATGGTGGCTCACGCCTGTAATCCCAGCACTTTGGGAGGCCGAGGGGGGAGGATCACAAGGTCAGAAGATCGAGACCATCCTGACCAACATGGTACCCCGTCTCTACTAAAATGTTTAAAAAAAAAAAAAAAATTAGCCAGGCGTGGTAGTGCACATCTATAGTCCGAGGTACTCGGGAGGCTGAGGCAGCGGAATCACTGGAACCTGGGAGGCGGAGGTTTTAGTGAGCCGAGACTGTGCCACTGCACTCCAGCCTGCTGACAGAGCAAGACTCTATCTCAAAAAAAAAAAAAGTTACTAAGGCTCAATATGTTGTTTTTACTAGCATAATGTCCAGTGGACATCAATACCAGTGTCAATATGTATGTCAATATGTTGTTTTTACTACCATAATGTCCACTGGACATAGCATCAATGCTATAATAGGTAACAACCAAGTAGTAACTCACTGAACTGATCATTGCTACAAATAACACCTTTGTGCTAAAATAGAAAAGAAAAAAATTAAACATATGCTCTTCTCAAGATACAACTTACTTGTTTTGAATTGGGCCTAGGGGCTTCTCTTCTTTCTCTAGTTAACCTCCAAGGAGTTATAATTTCATAAGAAGAAAGATGTGAGGTTTGTTGAAAGCCTACAGAAAAGGCAATAACAAATATAAGAAATGAAACTGAAAAACTACATGGACACACAATATAATGAAAACCAAAAGCTGAATGTTCAAATCACAGAAAAATCACCTAACATTCCCATATTATAATATACATGTAATAAAAGTAGTTTCATATAAAGTTGTATTAATACAAAAAAATAGCAATATATTAGATAAGTATGAGGAGGAAAATGTATTTCCTTAAAGAAGAATACCAGTCCGTATCCAAACATTATATATATATATATATACACACACACACACACACACACACATACTGTTCGGATATATATATACGGTTTGGATAAAGACTGATACATTGCTACATACATATGTATATATATGTATATGTATGTAGCAATCATATCAAACATTTTTGGCTATAAACCCTAACCCTTTTTTCTCAAAAGAAATCTTAAGGTATAAACACAAGAGGAAAGAAAAGAACTGGTTTGGTGGGTGAAATGGGGGAAAGGCATCCTAGAGTCTAGCACCCTTCACTATCTCCCATTCTTCCCCTTCACCCAGCATGAATGACATCCTCTGAGATGATACTACTAAACACTTACTGCTATAGTCTGTATATTTGGCTTCTCCAAATTTCATGCTGAAATTTAACCCACAGTGTGTTCATGTTGGGAGGTGGGGCGTATTGACAGGTGTTTGGGTCATGGAGGCAGATCCCTCATGAACAGATTAATGCCCTCCCTGAGGGGGCCAGGGTAAGAGAAAGAGTTCCTTACAACAACAAATAGTTGCTCTATTTGTTCCCTCAAGAGCTGGTTGGTAAAAAGAGCCTCTCTTTCGCCTCTCTCTTGCCTCCTCTCTCACCTTGTGACCTCTGTACACGCCAGCTCCCCTTCCCCTTCTGCCACGAATGAAAGCAGCCTGCAGCCCTCACCAGAAGCAGATGCCTGTGCCATGCTTCTTGTACAGCCTGCAGCAAATCAAATATGCCTCTTTTCTTTACAAATTACCCAATCTCAGGTATTCCTTTAGAGCAACACTGGTTTGGTGACATTTATTAAATGGTCGAGGACAGTAAGTGGGAAAAGATACTGTTGGTATCTGATGGGTTAACTCTAACAAGTATATACCCAACAAGGTAGCCACTCTCTCAAATTATAGCCATTAAGCCATCACAAAAACAAAAACTTTATAAAACATTTCTTAACAGTTAAGAACTTCTTGAAAAAGTCATGCAAACTTACTCCCATTTCCAATTCTGTTCAGTTTATCAGCATGGAATCCTGATGTCTTAAGGGGGGCTTGGGTTCTAAAGTCACCACTTGAATGGAAATTGAGTATAATCAAAATTGCCACCACAAATCTCTTTGGAAGGCACACCATGTCAGAGTCTAATATATAGTCTCTCAATAAGTCCAACACGACCTCTTTTTCTTCCAGCATTATTACCAATGGCTTAACCCTTACTAACCTAACCTCTAGATGACTATGATAACTTTTTACCTGTTCTCCCTACTCTTATACTCTCCTCCTTTGATCCAATCTATATGTTCACTCACTCATTAGTTTCCTTATACCCCTCAGATTTCTCAAATACAGATTATTTACACCTAGCTTTTTCCAAGATAACACTGTATATAAAATGTTTATAACTGTGTCTGTTTTTAGATTAAAAAGATGCAAACAGCTGCAAACATGAAACCATAAAATATATCATATCCAATACAATGAATGACAAACACAGTTTTTAAACTCTTTACCCATTAACCCCTTATATTTCTATTATACAGCATATATGTCCAAATGTGGCTTCAAATCATTACATTAAAAACACCATAAATGGGCTCTGATACTCCAAGGCATATTTATGATACACTACAATTTAATATTATTGAAATATTTAGAAATGTCAATTAGAAACCATGTCAAAAGAAATCTATGGCCTTAACAGATGCAGACTTCAAATCACTGGGCAGAAATATCCCTTATCCTAAATTAACTGAGGAATGGACCATTTCCTTACCTAAAATGACCTTCAGTTTTCCTAAATTCCTAAAATCACAAGTTTATATATTATCCCTAAAAATTTCATTCCAGGGTTGGGCATGGTGGCTTATGCCTAGAATCCCAGCACTTTGGGAGGCCAAAGTGGGAGAGTCACTTGAGCCTAGGAGTTCAAGACCAATGTAGGCAACATCACAAGACCTTGTCTCTATAAATAATTTTTAAAATTAGCTGGGCAGAAGGTGTGCACCTACAGTCCCAGCTACTATGAAGGCTGAAGTCCAAAAATGTCATGTTTGGCTTATTTGGTATAAAAATCATACAGGAAGCATTGTCAAATATGAAATAGTGTTTGGCTTTCTTTTGTATAAATGTTATTGGTATATGTTCCAACATTATGAGAAATGCCTGTAATTCTGATATGACTTAATATGTTATTAATAATTATTATGTGAAATTATTGTATGCCACAAAGGTAAACAAATTTCCTTGTCAACTGTGGCTTTAATGGTGGCTATCCTAAGACTTTTTGGCATCCACAGAAAATTGTCTCATTGTGATCCTCTTCTAAAGATGTTTTATAATCAGTTACAGGACTTTAACAGGTGCTCTTAAATGCAAGTTTATGATAACTTTGGAGATGTGACATTAGAATAGAGGAAAAAAAACTTTCAGGACTGGCATGGAGAGGTGAAATGTTTATGAATATCAAGCAGAACAGGAGTTAACTGCATGGACTGAACTATCAGAAGACTAAAATTATTCCTGTATGACTTTTTGCTTAAAACCCACTGATCCTTTGTTTTGTTTTTCAGAGCCATGAAAACTTCTCTTTTGAGTTATTTAATCCCTGTGAACAAAATCTGAAGCATATTTCTACCTGACTTCTCCAAAATTTGGAAACCAGTTGTTAAGTATTCTTAACTCACAGCAATATAGTTATTTGCATAAGTACAATAAGAATCTATTTTCCTTTGCAACAGGACACAACTGGAGAAAACAGGTTATTTTACCAAGTTTTGACTGGAATGTTGTGCTTCCCTTTAAGGAATCAAACTTGATTTTACAGAACCAGTAAAAGCCCCTTGGGAAAGTTTGCCACATACCTTGTCTACACAGTCCCTGTACAAGGTTCCTGGCCTGTTGTAAATAATGAATGTCACTATCTACAGGCCCAGGAGTGCCAAGTTATCTTGGGACCTCAAGAGGAAAGAAATTTACCCAGCTCATCCCTGTATTTAACAATACAAACGCATGGCTGAGCTGAGCTTTAAAAAAAAAAAAGTCTTATCTGAGATTCCTTATGGAAGAAAGTTCCATCAAAGCCAATTAAAAAGTGCCTATGGCGAGGCTCGGTGGTTCACACCTGTAATCCCAACACTTTGGGAGGCTCAAGTGGGCAAATCACGAGGTCAGGAGTTCGAGACTAGCCTGGCCAACATGGTGAAACTCCATCTCTACTAAAAATACAAAAATTAGCCAGGCACCGTGATGAACACCTGTAGTCCCAGCTACTCAGGAGGCTGCAGGAGAATCACTTGAACTTGGGAGGCGGAGGCTGCAGTGAGCCGAGATGAAGTGATACTTCGTCTCAACAACAAAAAAAAGTACCTATGTAGCAAATAATTATTCTTACTGCGCTAATTTCAAATAATCAGGCCAAGTATAATAAGACTAAACCTTAATTTGCAAACCATCATGTCCTATCAGTCCTATCATGATTTGTTTTTAATGAAAATAGGAAACAGGGGAGAGAAAAATTATGTTTCAAGAACTAAGACACACCTGCCATTAAATTCTAGTCTAATCAGTTGTTTTTGAGTTCTCGCTGCAATTTGGACTGACTCTGCTAATCTCAGTGAACCAATCAGTGATCTCTAACTGCAGCTCAGAAGAAACAAGCTAATGATAACATTAGCTCTGGATGGCTAATGTTAACATCTGGATCAGTATTCTAATTCTGGGCATATATTGGAATTAATTAATGACCCTATATCAGCTTGGTTCCAATAATTACCCAGTTCATGGAATGCCTTTCTATTTAGTTTACTTGGAATAATTTTACTTATTTTGCTTTACTGTCAAGGAATATATTGCTGTTGAACTCTTTGTTTAGGAATGCAAGATAAGCTTACTGAATGTTTTCTTAAATTGAACATTTATTCATCTTCCAGATTATCACCTTTTGTGTTGTGAACTCAACAGAACTCAGAGTTGTGAATGACCCTCAGGATACTGATGTCTGACTGAGCTCCTCTCTACCCTGGATACAAGATACCCTATAGTTAGGCAGGGATATCATTGCTCCTATTCAGCCTGAAGAAGTTACAGAAGATAGATCTTCTTTCCTCTACAATCCTTAAGATTAAGGTTCCCATGCAAAAGGATGAGGGAAAATATATCAGAGACCCTAAAACCAGACTGACTCCAACTTGAATAGGGGCTGGGTAAAATAAGGCTGAGACCTACAGGGCTGCATTCCCAGGAGGGTAGGCATTCTTGGCCACAGAATGAGATAGGAGGTGACAAGATACAAGTCACAGAGACTGCTGATAAAACAGTTTGCAGTAAAGAAGCCAGCTAAAACCCACCAAAACCAAGATGGCAACGAAAATGACCTCTGATTGTCCTCATTGCTCATTATATGCTAATTATAATACATGAGCATGCTAAAAGACACTCCCACCAGCACCGTGGTAGTTTACAAATGCCATGGCAAGGCCCAGAAGTTACCTTATATGGTCTAAAAAGAGGAGGAACCCTGAGTTCAGACAAATCCTTGCACCTCTCCCAAAAAACTCATGAATAATGCACCCCTTGCTTAGCATATAATCAAGAAGTAACTATCAGCATACTCAGCTAAGCAGACCAAGCCACTGCTCTGCCTGTGGAGTAGCCATTCTTTTATTCCTTTATGTTCTCAATAAACTTGCTTTCACTTAAAAAAAAAAAAAAGTCTCTTTAAGTAAATCACTACAGACAAGACTATATATGCTGGCCAGGCATGGTAG